GAGAGAGAGAGAGATTATATTCAAAATAGTATAGAAAAAAAAAAGAAAAAAAATTAACATCTTTCATCGAAACGCAGACAACGAACTGCTAATCATGTGGAAAATAACAAGAACCGAGTTCATCGCAAGGATAATACGTCACGTGATTATAACCGCGGAAAGTATCCAAAAAACTATCGCCGCCCTAAAGAATGAGATAACTCCGCCCCCAAAATGTAACGAATAATAACGGAAATAAGGAATAGAGTAAAATTAGTAATCGATCGATCGTGTCGACAGTGTCTATCATAATCTCGATGGGAACTGCGGTATTTTCGGTGATCGGTGACGACAGGAGTCGAAATTTTGTAATTTGTGGTTCGTCGATCCAGGACATTAAGTATACAAGGAGAGTGTGTTTACCAGGCGATATCGTGTTGTGCGAGAGCGCTTGGGAATTTTGTGTCCCCAGTCATTACGAATACGTTCTCAAGGATGCGGACAACGTTAAGGTTGACGAGTAATAATAATTTTAGAGCGTTTACAGAGAATTTTTAATCATATTTTCTTGAGGAAAGATATGTTTAAATCTGGTGGGATGGATATATCGTTGTTGTCGCGCGTTAGATCATTAAAGTGCTCGAGGCACAAGAGGAAATTTTGATGGTGAGAGACATAGGGATCGAGGAGGATATCATAGAACTGAGTAAGTCGCCGTCGCACGTGTCAATATTATCCGACGTGTCCGTGGAACAAGAGATCAGAGCTACGCACTTTCGAAGTGAGCAAAATAACATAATAAAATCGAGTTTCATTGGTGCGTAATGTAACAAATTATTTAAAGAGTTAACGACGATTTCGTTTCGTAGCAAGAATTTCCGTAGTGGACGCATTGCGAAGACGTATCGGAATATATCTGAGAAGTTACATGGTGGCAGCGGTGTTAACGCAGGTAAGAGGCCCTCCTCCCTCGTAAGAAAATTTTTCCATTCCGTGAAACTTGATTTTCAGATCGATAACGAACAATCGTTGGCACATTTGATAGAAATAAGAAATGTTACTGTTATCTGCGTCAGTACAATTCCTTATGATTGTACCGTTTTCGAGTTGATTTCTTTGACAGACGAAATATACAAAATTATTCAAAAGTATGTACCTTCGCTCGAATATATGTGTATATATATGTGTGTGTATTGTTGAAATTGTTTCTTTGAAAATTGATAAAATTTTTGATATTTGATTGCAGTATAATTGAATCGTATTCTGGATATATGTGCCTCGTGAATTTATTCGAAAAGGATCCATCTTTTATTATTATATTCGGACTCAGGAATTTTGAAAATAATCAGAATAATATACTGAATGGAGTATTATCCGCATGCAAAATATTAAAAGAAGTGAAACATCTGATTGGTATTAAAGCAGTTCTTATTGGCATTTCGAGTGGTAATCTTTCAAATTTCTAATATTGCACTTTTAACGAATGGAACTCGAATCATCGAATTTAAAATTTTTTTCGCCTTTTTTTATATACATACACAGGTTTAGCATTCTGTGGAATAATTGGTCATATCGTTAGAAGGCAATTCATGGTTTTTGGTCACTGTGTCGACATGGCTGTTCTTTGATGATGATTTCGTACGACAGGGTTCGTCTCACGAAATTTTTACAATAATTTATACATCTCTGCGAGATTCTGAAAGATATTTATCGTAGATATTTTGCGACTACAACGTTGTTTTAAAAAGTACTTTGAAAAAAGAGAGATTTCGCCGCCAAGGTATAAGGACGTTGAGAAAAATTGGAAAATACCAAATTTATGAGATCTTAGATGAGCCGTTGTAATGTTTCTTATTATTATTTCTTACGCTTCTAATTATTTATGTGACAAAAAGTTTAAATGTCTGTAATCTGTTTAAAATTTGGTTTTCATTTTAGAACAACCGAGGTATTGACGAGCTTGGAATATAAATATCCTCTTCTCGGTCGGTACAACGAGATAGAATTCTTTAAAGATCTTTTAGACGAGATAGGACTATCCGAACGACCTTATTCCGGGCTGGTTATCGAGGTATTCAACGAGAATATAAATTTGAACTGAGAAATGAAGATCGAGAGAATCATTCGAATTAATTATTCAGGGTAATGAAAGATCTGGTAAATCGAGGATCCTTGATGCTTATTCCACGATTGTTAAAAGCAGACAAATAAAATTGATTCAACTTCCTTTGCATCCATCTTTCGCGGAGAAATCTTATTCTGTGCTGTATCATATACTTCTTCAGGTAAACGAGACAAAATTTTGTTTCCCTCTTCGATGATTCGTGATTGAAAAATGATTCCTTTTTTCTTTTTTTTTTTTTTTTTGTTTTTTTCATCTAGATGTTCGATGCTGAAACTTGTATTACTATAAACGATCGTGAAAAAGTTTTAATAAAATATCTGTCCGAAATAGTGGAACCTGAAGATTTATGTTACCTGAACTATGTTATGAGGGTACAATTTCCTCAAACAAGTACTTTTCGTGAAGAGACCGATTGGCAACGTTACAAAAAGATGATCGATATCTTTGAGAAAATAATAAACGAGGTTATATTAAATATATAGTTATATAAGGTGATCTGTAAATTTTCCATTTCGATTTTATTTATTTATTCCTTTTTTCCAGATTGTTGGTTATGTGTGCATCCTTTTAGATGATGTGCAGTATATGGATCTGTTTTCCTGGCAATTTTTATCCTCTATTTTGAGTAATAAACACATAGTTGTAGCTATGACGATGCTGGAACCCGTTTCGTGGGATGTTTTAACCCAAATCGAAACCGGGATTAGCCAAGAGAAAAGGTTAAAGATTAAGTCGTTGAATTCTTTAAACGGTGAATATTTGACAGCATTTGCCTGCCAATTTTTAAACGTTATCGGAATTCCTGAAACCCTGGAAAGGTGAAAAAATCTATTATTAATTTTCTTCCATTATCCAAACATTATCAACGTGAACGTATCGGTGTATTTGACTATTTAGAATCCTTAGCCAACATAGTAAAAATGGGATTGGTTGGTGCGAAGCGTTCTTAATATCAATTTTGCAAGTAAAAGCGTTAGAAATTATCTCGATATCTCCAAAGGAAGTAAAAAAATATAATCTCGTTTTCCCAAATCCATCGTACTTATCAAAAATTCCCGTGTATTTAACGCCCGAGGAATTGGCACCACCGTTACAATGGATGCAAATGACCACGTTGAACGTGTGCGTGCCGTCAAGAAAATCGAAAAGTATCGTCGAAGTTAACCGAGATGTTATAGGTGATTTCGAGTCATTCTTTTATCAATTTCACTTTCAAATCCTTCGAAATTATTGACTATAAAATAAATTTAACGATCAACGAGATTCGTTTTAGGCTTGAGAATCGATATATATAACAGAATGAACTCGTATGAGCAAGATTTTATCAAGTGTGCCGCAGCATTGGGTAATATTTTTCATCGCAGTGTGTTAAGTAACGTGATAAGTAATTCTACACCTCTATACACGTCGAAAGGAAGTATCGATTGATTGAAAACAGAGTTGGTAATTATTGTATCTTTATCATTATAATTACGTATTACCGTTGTTATTCTTCTATTTCAGCCGTGGCAGAAATGATAAGGTTAAGGATCTTGGAGTGTGCCATGATCCAAAGGAAATATTTTACGAGTATGACGGTATATCACGCGTTTAAAAAGCGTAAAACTTTCAGCAACATGCACCATTTGGTGTATTGCAATTGTATTCGGATCCGTTAGTTGTCTCGAAACGCGGCATAATTTTTAATCGACGTGAATTTTGAGAATACTATTTTTTCATTACAGGGCCAATAATAAAAGAAACGTTGCCGATGTATGCCGACTGCAGGATGTTAGAATTTACGATACCTTCTTATCGTAAATTTTTTTATGATATTCTCTCTTTACAGGAGAAAAACGAATATCATATAAAAGCTATAAACATTCTTGAACAAAATGCTAAAAAATGTAGCAGTTGTGGAAGAAGTCCATTTTTAATGCCATTGATAGAGAAAGAAGAGAAATTAGTTGAGTATTTAAAATAGTGTGTGTATAGTATATAGATTTTATTTTTAATTATTTTTTTTTTAAATTATAAAAGAATAATAGTCAAATTTTATTTTTTCAAGGAAGAAAATATGTATAAAAACTATGTGCATAAAATTCCGGAAAGATTTGAACGTAGACGAAGTATCTTCGTAACGAAGGAAACTGACATCCGTAAAGAGAAACAGGATCGCTTAACTTCCATTCTACCGACGATATTTACCGACGATAACAGTAAAGATAAAATTATTCAATCTTGATATAATAAATCAGAAATCTCTTCTTCATGTGTATTTAAATACACGTATTAGATGTATAGCGAAATCGAATTTTAATCCATGTATTTTACATTCATGTAATCCATTTCAATACATGGCAACTTGTATATTTTTACTATAACTATATTATATATATATATATATATATTTTCATATTTCATATTTCATATTTCATATTTTTATATTTTTTATTTTTTCCCTATTTTCAAGAAATTTTCCTTTTCTAAAGTTTCTCACTACAAAATATTTCCATTCAAATTCTTTTATAATACTTTTCAAATAAATATTTTTAAATATCATAAATTACTACTGTTTCTTCTTCTGTTCTTGCAAATTATCGTATTCTAACAATTCATCGCTCATAAATTATTAGAAATTGGTAAATAGAAAAATTTATGTATCAGTGGCGCCATCTCGCGTTTGGATTCCGGAAGCTTCGACTTGTTATTAGCAAAGCAGAATATGCAAGGAGGTATTCGTGACGTCACAGAGAAGGAAAGGAATATTGTGCAAGTAGGACAGAGAGTATCTCGCCATTTTGAAAACGCTAGATAGAAAGTTTATAAATTACTCGGTTTTTCACTAAAAATTTCTACATTTTTGAGCTCGTATTTTCAAGTTAGAACTTCAAACAAGTTTCTTGTTTAAATTTTAACAAGAAATTCATCGCAATTAATTATTTATCAACGATTATCGCACAGAATGTTTCAATCGCGAATCCCCGTTCCTCAATCGAGTAGTAAACAATCAATTTGTTCATTTGAACGATAGCAAAATTATGAATAAAATTTATACGCGAAAGTAGAGAAGAAAGTAATATTTCAAATGTGTATATTCATATTTGGAAATAAATCTTATAATAACGAGAAATTAAGGAAAAACGTACTGTGCGTTAATCGTGCTAAGCTGCACGTGACGCGTTAATCATTAATAAATAATTAATTAAAATGAATTTCTTGTTAAAATTTATACGAGAAATTTGTTCGATGTCCTAGCTTTGAGTAGCAAGTTTAAAAGTGTAGAAATTTTTATTAAAAAACGAGTAATTAATGAATTTTCCATGTAGCGTTCTCAAAGGGGCGGGACATATTCTCTATCTTTCTTGCACAATAGTGCTCTCTTTCTCTGTGACGTCACGAATACCTCCTTGCACATTCTGCTTTGCTAGTAACTAGTCGAAGCTTCCGGGATCCAAACGCGAGATGGCACCACCGATACATAAATTTTTTTTATTCGCTTTCTTTGTCTAACTTACGAATGAAACGAGTAAAATAATTTTCTATATATCGCATCAAATTCTATATATATTTTTATATCTTTATATAAATTCATTTGCACGTATATTCGTATATTTTGTTTATTTACGTATATATATATATATATATATATATATATATATA